TAGGATTTCATAATTGAAGTCTAGTTAAACCTTCAAATTTCGTGCATGCAAAACAATGATTGTCATTTTTCGCGGTGAATTTTGGTGAAATACCCAAAATACCCTTCGCATTCAAGGCTAAATTCGGGTCAAGGACACGCTCGAGCTGGGTCATGATCATCATATCTGATCATATTGCACCCCCGATACCCCACAATTTTGGTTAATTTTACAAGTAAGCCATTTTGTAGAATTTAGCCAATTTCGCATATAGACCCCTTCACAAATTTCAATTTAACGTCCACATACCCTTATCAAAACTTTGGTTATTGGGTTGTGGTCTAAACTTTTGGAATTTCAGCCCTTTTGCAAATAAACCCCTCTACACTTTGTGGGTTGCTCTTTTGCAAATAAACCCCTCAAACCACATTGAACCATATTTACATACAACCCCCTCAAAGTTCACTCCCCCTCTTTGCATACAAACCCCTCAAAGTTCAGTCCCAAATTTGCACAAAACACCCCCAATTTTCGGCTGTAAACAGTAAAATCCGGTCGTGAACAGTAAAATCCGGCCGTGGACAGTAAAATCCGGCCGTGAACAGTAACTTTTTGTTTTTTCTCAAATTCCATAATCAAATTTGGTTCTCTACACAATCCATCTCCCAAATTTCGGCCAACAAACAAACCCAATGCAAATTTCGGATTTTTGCCCAAATCCAAGAACTAGGGTTTCAAATATCGAATCAAAACATGAGAAACTAACTAGAATCAAAGCAAAGGAATAGAAGCCATGAAAAGAAGGCTTACCCAAGTTCTTGAAACTTGAAGAAGGAAGAAAAAAATCCAAACGACCAAAACCCTAGATTTGAATCTCCTCCTTTGCTCGAATCCAAGTGGGAAGAAGAGTTTGAACACTTGAAGAGGGAAGGTAAAGGCTTTGAAAGAGAGGGGAGACTTGGAACTCTTGATGAAGGAGAGTTCTTGGGGAGAAAGAACTCAAAACAATGGTGGAGGGATGGAGGTAGAAGAAGAGTTTGAGAGGGAAAAGAAAGAGTCCTCTTTTGAAAAGAAGGGGGAAAACAAAAGGGGAAACAAAATTCAAACAAAAAAGGAAGTAAAGAGGGGGAAACAAAATGAAGAAAAAGACAAAAAAAAAAAAACAAGGGGGGACCACGGTTGAGCCAAAGACACCCCTAGGGGTGTCTCGGCAAAACCGAAACACCCCAAGGGTGTCTCGGCAAAATCGAGACACCCCAAGGGTGTCTCGGTTTTGTTGAGACACCCATAGGGTGTTTTGACTGAATTTTGTACCCCCGAACTCCTTTTGGACTCCGATTTCGCCGATTTTCCGACGGTTGTTGGATATTTCGACGAGTCCCACATTTATCAACGCCGAACGATTTGAAACCCTAGGGTCAACGCCGGTCAACGCGTAACCCTAGGTCAACGCCAGTCAACGCGTTGCGACAAAAGTCAACGTTTGACGATTCGAAACCCTAAGGGTCCACGCCGGTCAACGCGTAACCCTAGGTCAACGCCAGTCAACGCGTTGCAACCAAAGTCAACGTTTCAACGCCAGTCAACGCGTTGCAACCAAAGTCAACGTTTGACGATTCGAAACCCTAAGGGTCAACGCCGGTTAGCGCGTAACCCTAGGTCAACGCCAGTCAACGCGTTGCGACAAAAAGTCAACACACGGTGACCCGAAACCCTAAGGTCAACGCCGGTCAACGCGTAACCCTAGGTCAACGCCAGTCAACGCGTTGCGACCAAAGTCAACGTTTGACGATTTGAAACCCTAGGGTCAACGCCGACCAACGCGTAACCCTAGGTCAACGCCAGTCAGCGCGTTGCGACCAAAGTCAACGTTTGACGATCCAAAACCCTAGGGTCAACGCCGGTCAACGCGTAACCCTAGGTCAACGCCAGTCAACGCGTTACGACAAAAGTCAACGTTCGGGGATCCAAAATCTACACTAATCAACGTTCGACGATTCAAAACCCTAGGGTCAACGCCGGTCAACGCGTAACCCTCGGTCAACGCCGGTCAACGCGTTGCGACAAAAAGTCAACACACGATGATCCAAAACCCTAAGTCAACACAATATGACGGAGGTAGTTCAAAGTCAACTCAGTGACACGAGCCAAACTCAATTCATCAGCTGCAGACTCGAGACTCCGACGACGGCCAAGCGATAAACGCAGTGCCGGAAGAACTTCGGCTATTCGTCAAAGCATCGAATAGATCGAAAACCGAAGAAGCCAAGAGTTGAAGCTAACTACAGGTCCTTACGCCGACTGAAGGCTAGACCAATCACATCCAAAGTATTCCAGTCTCTTCTATAAAAGAAACGAGTCCGGAACACTTTGGAGGGGGTATCTGTAGGCATCGAAAATTGCCTATAGGTCTCCACGAACGACGATGAACGTCACTATCCGATCCACAGGAGTCCAATTGACGTCGACGAACGATTGAAGTGAATCGACGAGCTACGTGAGCTGATAGGATTTCGGAACAACGAAGACCCGGGCCAATCAGGAATCCGGTGATGTTCACAAAAAGGACAATGTCCCTCATGCCTCGATCACTCTACAGATAATCCAACCACCAGAGCGGATCGAACTCTTCATCCGGCTTCCAACGCACTTCGAATCACTAAAATCCGAGTTCGGACGAAAAATTTACGGCGGAAGCAGACAAATGCACCTCAACGGAGCGTCTCGGAATTTCAGAGACACCCCAGAGGTGTCTCCAAAATTCGGAGACACCCCAGAGGTGTCTCCAGAATTCGGAGACACCCCAGAGGTGTCTCCAAAATGTGGAGACACCCCAGAGGTGTCTCCAGAATTCGGAGACACCCCAGAGGTGTCTCCAAAATGTGGAGACACCCCAGAGGTGTCTCCAGAATTCGGAGACACCCCAAAGGTGTCTCCAAAATTCGGAGACACCCCAGAGGTGTCTCCAGAATGTGGAGACACCCCAGAGGTGTCTCCAGAATTCGGAGACACCCCAGAGGTGTCTCCAGAATTCGGAGACACCCCAAAGGTGTCTCCAAAATTCGGAGACACCCCAGAGGTGTCTCGGAATTGTGGAGACACCCTAGGGGTGTCTAGGCTTTTCCTAGACACCCTACACCCCTCTTGCCTATAAATAGTGACCCTTGGCCTCACTTTTTGCAGATCTGGAATTTTGGAGAGAAAGAGGCGAAGCCCTGCTGCAGTGAAGAGTGATCGAGCACTTTAGGGGAATTCTTCATCAGATCTTCATCACCCGTGTGTCCGTTCCTTAGTATTAGCCCTTGGCGTTAATACTAAGAAGAGCTAATATCTCGCTTTAGCCGAGATAAACGCTTCAAAGCTTCTAGATCTCTCGCGGATCGACGAAGCTCTGTCCGATTTTTCGGAAACAAATCTGATTGCCAGGTAGTCCACGGATATCAACGTCCCCGTCACAGGCCAAAGACCCACGCAAGCAAGAGACCGCAAAACAGGAATCTTGTGTTTATATTCGAAAAGTTGTAATTTTTATTCTTTGTTATTTGAATTCATTTGTAACGATTGAAGTTTAATGAAATCAATGATGAAGGCAACTTTTTCCGAAAACAGAGTTATATTGTATTTATATGACTTTCTTCTGCTTGCTTTATTTTCTGTTTTCGATAGATTTTGTTGCTAACTGCTTCAAATTTGGATGAGCGCAATGTCTATAAAAATTACATAAAGAAGCATATAGATGAAGGGAAGGATGTGTTGATAATTCCAATATGTCACGCTAACCATTGGCATGTCCTTGAGGTCAACTTGGGGCAAAAAAAATGCAGTCATTACAGCTCCGCTGACCACGAGGCATGGGCTAGAGACGTGTTGACCATCCAACTTTTTTTAGATAGGATGGTGAGTGGTTACGATTAGGCGTCGACATTCAGAGCATTCCAATATGAAGCAGTCCCTTGTCGAACGCAAAAAGGCTCGTAAGTTTCTTATACTTAAACATGAGATTGTTGCATGGCTTGTTGTATGGCTTAGTGACATTGTCGGTGCTATATTCACATCAATATGTGATATTTGCAGACTACAAGTGACTTTGGTGATGTTATGTGACAGTTTAGTATGCAATGTGACTTATGCTGTATTTATATGACATTTTGATATTGCATGTGACATATTAGGTAACTGTGTTTTATTCTCGTGACCCATTACATATCCAGCTATTAAGTGTTATGTTATATTTTTACAGATATGATTGTGGCATACATGCGTATTTTTTCATTAAGGCGATCCTCGAGGGAAGGGAGATAATGAACATTGAAGCCTTGCACAGGGAGTCGCTTATTATAACTATAGAGATTTGGATTTGGGAAGTACACTATTTAAGGATAATTTTAGGAGGCTGGTTCAGATGAAGTCTGAAGTTGATCAATTTCCTTAGGAATGAGCAAAGTGTACCTCCTCTCTTTCATTCTGGTAAATGAGTTAATTTTTTTTTTTTTTGCTACTCTTGCCTATGACTACTCACTAGATGGTTAAAATTTTGGGTTCTTTGCATACATACCACTTAAATCATTGGTATTTGAAAAACTACCCTCCAAATCTCAGTGTTTGCAAAACTACCCCTCAAATCATCAATTATGAAAAAAAATTTACACTCAAAGCAATTTATTATCAACAAAATAGTCAAGTTTTAGCACCAAGTTGATGATTTGCTGATTTTAAGGTATTTTCTCACAAAGTTTGATAATTTGAGGGGTAGTTTTGCAAATACTAAGGTTTGGATTATATTTTCACAAATATCCATGATTTAAGTGGTATTATGCAAATAACTCTAAAACTTTTCAAGCTACATTAATTCGGGTGCATTTACATTTTCCGGGCTAAAATTTAGGATATAAGTAATAAAAGACAGTCCATTTAGACTTTAGTAGACACAAAAATAGAAAAAACAAAAATAATGTACGAAAGAAAATCTTGGGTGCTAATGTACAAAAATACATCATCAGTTGACGCGCCAAAGGCGAGGTTCGAAGGGTCATCACTGTAATAAACCCTAGCCCTAATGTTAGCATTTCCCTCAATTTCTACCCTAAACTGATGGAATCATGGAGAAGAGAAGCGAGAATTAACCATGCCCAAGTTGGTAATTTCTATTGCTTTTACCATTTTGTTCAAAATTCTGCGTGCAATTCAACCAATTTTGACCTAGGGTAATTGCAATTTCCCATCTTTACAAGATCTTTTTTGTTGAACTTTTGTATAGGTTGCTGTTAAACTTTGTAAATTGCAATTTCCCATCTTTACAAGATCTTTTTTGTTGAACTTTTGTATAGGTTGCTGTTAAACTTTGTATTTATTGTCGAAAGAAATTCCCCTAATTGTTGAACTTTTGTATAGGTTGCTGTTAAACTTTGTATTTATTGTCGAAAGAAATTCCCCTAATTTCCTTAAAAAATCCCAAATTTAAGCTCTTTCTTTCTTTGACTACCAAATTGATGGAGCAGAGGCGCCAGAATCACAATCTCAAGAGCTCTGATATTTATTTCGTTTCCCCCTTTTCAAGACTTTTCCTTGTAACTCGATCAAATTATAGCACAATGGTTTCCTTGTAACCCATGCCCAAGTTGGTAATCTCAAGTAGTTGGCATTTCCCTTCGCGTCACCAAGCCTTTTTTTTAAAGGCTACATAGCGCTTTAAATAAGGAAATGTTTTATTTGATGACCAGATACAAAAAATTTGACTAGTACACGCATAATGCGCTCTTACTTCTTTATTCAACAATTGCACAATGGTTCTGTTCTATGAGGAAGAGAAGGCTCCCTTACTCATATAATTCAATGGTGGGATGCTCTGCTCATTCCTGAAAAAGTTCATAGGATCGACCCTCCCCTTCACAATAGCTAGCTTCTCAAAATTACCTTTGAAATATCTCTCCCCCCACTGCCGAGCTTCAAAATAGCTCGGCATCAGCCCTTTGGTCCTACCCAAATCGATATCTTTGAAGTTGTAGTATGCTGTCCGCGGATTGTTTGAAACATATGGAGTCATAAATTCATACAGTTTCCTCATTGAATCCAAATGTCTCTTGCTCTCCTGTTCATCTGTCCCGGACCAGCTCGTGTAATACTGAATGATGTATAAGTTTCCTTTCCTGTGAGGGAACGGGATTGTCGATTCTGGGATCATGTCCATTATTCCTCCGAATGGTTCCATTATCAGCAATATAGTGATGTTGTCGTCTTTGAGGTTTCTAAGAGCCCTCCATATCTCTCCCCATTGTTTCTCAGTGATCGGGTTTGTCACAAAGTCCGATTTTGCCTTGAATGAACTGTTGAACTCTGGTGTCCTGTTCAGTAACGCTTCGATCCCTTCACCTGACATACCGTACATGAAGAGGGCAGATTCCAACCAGTTCATCTCTGTGAAGTCATCAGCCTGAAGGCCAAGCTCAGGGAAGCTCGTGTCTATTGCAGAGACGAATTGGCTTTTGTTTCCAAGGAAGAGGGAGATGAACTGAACTTGAATTTCCACATTCAATATGGACTCACTGTCGATTACGGGTTGCACAACGGCTCGGAGAAAGATATTCTCATCCAATTTAGGAGCAATGTCTTGCCACCTGCTCACGTTGTCAATTGCTCGTGTCAATTTAGCCTAAACATAATTAACTTCTGGGGGATCAAATTTGAACTTACCTTGTAACAATATTAGTCGCATTCTGCCTTAAACTCCTGTAAACATTGAATGCAGTAACAACAGGAGGAACTTCAACCAGTTGAAGTTTGTAAGCCAAAACGATACCGAAACTGGCTGCTCCTCCGTCCCTTATGGCCCAAAACAGATCCTCGCCCATTGTCCGCCTGTCCAAAACCACTCCACTGGTGCCCAAAATCTTGGCATTGATAACATTATCAGCAGCAGTACCAAATTTTCTCATCATTGCGCCATATCCACCACCACTTAAGTGCCCACCAATCCCAATAGTTGGACATTGTCCTGCTGGAAAACCTAGAGTACCATTACTCTTGGTGAACACGTTATAGTAGACCTCACCAACGGTTGCTCCAGATTGAACCCAAGCTGTTCGAGTCTTGGCATCGACATTGATGCTTCTGTAGTGTGCAAGATCAACAACCACAAACGGCCGTTTTTTGTCGTCAGATACATATGACATGCCCTCATAGTCATGACCACCGCTCCTTGCGCGTAGCTGTAGGCCATACATGTACGCACATCTGATTGTTATGTTTACGTCGGATGTAGAGTTTGCTGTGACAATTATTGAGGGCTTTTGATTGGTTTTGGAGACTAAGAAGCGCAAGTTTTGAACAGAGGATTGGAGTACGGATTCATAGGAGGTGGAGTTTGAAGTGTAGATGAGGTCTGGAGAGATATGTTGTAGAAAGCAACCGATGAAGGATTTGAAGGGAGTAGTGTAAGAGGATTGTGCAAAAGATGGAGATAGTAAGAAGAGAAAGGAGAGGATGGTGAGGATTGTTGAGGTTGATATCGCCATTTTTCTTGATAAGGGGTTGTTTGAATGTGTTATGGAGATTTGTACCGTGGGTTTATATAGAGATGATTAGAGTTAAACAGTTTTAACTTAATTCATACAAGTCACAGGGCTCTAATTACTTGTTTATCCTTCCATCCCCTCTCAGTTCATCAACTATTTAATAAATTAATGTTCACTGTCATTCTTGTTCTTGTCACAGCAGCTCAACGACTAATTAATAAATTAATATTCACTTTGCTCGTCACTTGTTGATGCAATAAGTTCACTGCAGATCCTTGATACCTTCTTGATATCAGCTGATACAAAATCATGTGATGTAGTTTATGGTGTTATAAGGTCTGGCTTTAGCCTATGTCTCTGGCACTTCTGATTTTTTTTTTTTTTTTTTTTGGGCCTATGTCTCTGGCACTTCTGATTTTTTTTTTTTTTTTTTGTGTGTGTGTGTGTGGTTGATTACTTTTGTTACCTTGTCTCTATGAGATTTTGAACTTTATGTATCTTGCCAGATAAACCCCAGGAGCAGGTTATCTGCCTAGCACAGAATTGACTTTGCATGATCTTCTGAAAAAGACAGCACTAGCGAAATGCAGAGACAGGTTAGTTATACTTGCCAGTCGGAATTATCGATAATTTTCTTGAGATCTTTGCAAATTTTAACTGTGCTAGGTCACAATGTTATATCTTTTACTATATATTTACCTTTATATTGCTTTTTATAGTATGCATGCTGAATTTCTTAAATATCACAGAGGATTTTTTTTTTAATAGTAAGGCTACCTGATGTGTAAGATACAGATGTATTTTACATTTCTTCAACAGTAGCTAAACAAAAAGTACAAGTTAATTAGTATTGTGAAGTACATGTTCAGCAAAAAAAAGATTTAGAAATTGCCAAGTGATTATCACTTCTCCTACTTGGATTAGGTAACTTCATATCAGGGAAAGTGTCAGCTGACAATTTTTGAAATTGATCCAAATTATTTCGAACCAGTTCAATGCAAAAAGATTGCGGTATTTTTTTTTTTCTTCAACAAAGGGTTAGTGATGGGTTAGTCTGACACAGAAAATATGAAATAAATTCTTACTCACAAGCCCAACTGCAATCGTTTGGGCCGAGTCAAATCCGTTCTGGCCTGGTCCACTCCTAACCAAGTCTTGTGGGCTTTTCTAACGGGGTCAAGATGCCCAAACAATTACTAATTCAACAAAATAGAAGTGGTAACTAACTGTGGAAGTATGAGGGGATGGAAGAAGACTGTTATGGATCTCTGAATTAAGGTGTCACGCTGTTCCAAAGCGGTCGTATACTACAGAATAAGGGGGTGATGTCCTCGTCAAAAAAGAAAGATGATGGTCGATATTGTCTGCATCTATATGTTTATTTCAAAACATTTTCTCATTCGGTTTGGTCTAGTGTAGACTTAGCATGAAATGACTACACAATCTCATTGATTTACGAGATTATAGGGTTATACGGCCAATTCCTGTTGATAGAGTCACATAGAGATTATATGGATAATTAATAGGTTGTACAGCAACTAAAAATGTGTGAACTTTACGTTGTTATTTGGCCTTATTGTATATCTTTAGTGAACAATATTCACTTCCCATACCCGACCTCATGATTTCCTTTTTTTTCATGTAACCAATCTTTCCATTCTTTTAAGTATCAGGAGAATTCACCGTGTTCTGTTTGTGTGAACAAATTTATTTTAAAAGAGAAACGACATTACAAACAATCATTTGCCAAAAAAAAACACGAACTTTTATTTCATGACATTATCCTAGTACAACCTTCCAAACCGTTGGGGATTCGAAACAATCAATCGAACCCTTGCCCTTCCGGACCTTGTGTTGAAAGTAGGAAAGTAGGAATAAAACCACAAATAAAGATCTAACTTGCAAAAAAAAACAGTAAGGGAGATGAACACACAGATTTAACGAGGTTCGGCAACGTGCCTACGTCCTCGGGAGCCACACCACACAATCTTTTTATTAATTGAAGAAGAAAATACAAGCTCTCAAACAATGGGTTAATCTCTCTGAGATTCTCTCTCTCTTTTCAGTCAAAAAGCTCTCTTTTTGATGTCTCTGTAAACCCTAAAAACGTTTGGGGTATATATAGAATCCTGAAACAAAACAGATTCCCAAACAGTTTAGGAAACTGTCTGGACGATTCGCGGTCGACCGCCGTGCCAAGGCCGGTCGACCGGCCAGAGAAAAATGTGTTTACAGGGTCCTGTGCACATTTGCGGGCGACCGCAGCGGCCACGCCGGTCGACCGAACTTCTTCTCAGTCTCCTGCAGTGCACGCGGTCGACCGGCGATCTGCCACCGGTCGACCGCACAGTCTTCTGACTGTTTTCTTTGTCTTTTCGATTGCAGCTTCGGGTCTACACACTTAGACTAACAATCTCCCACTTGGAGACCAAAGCGCCATCAATGAGCTCACCCGAACTCTCCCCTTCTTCGCATGTATCTTTTCCCCGAAAAAGTTCTTCCTTCAATCAACAAAAATCCCAGCGATCTCGCCGATCCTCATAGTGTGGCTCCGCTTTCGTCTTCTACTCGTGAAGGCCAACTGAAGTTGCGCACAACCCCAGTTTCTCAATGGCGACTGCCTTCGTCAACATGTCCGCCGGATTTTGACTCCCCAAAATCTTCATTAAATGCAACTTTCCGTCCTCGATCAGCGAGCGTATAAAATGGTATTTGACGTCGATGTGGTTCGTTCTGGCATGATACTGGATTCTTGGCAAGATGTATAGCGCTCTGGCTATCACAATAAAGAACTCATCTCCCTTGCTTCAGATCCAACTCTTCCAAGCACCCGTTCAACCAGATCATCTTCTTGCTTGCTTCAGTCACCGCGACATACTCAGCCTCGGTTGTAGACAAAGTCACAATCTTCTGCAGACGTGAGACCCAGCTCACTGCTGTCGACGCTAAGGTATAAACATACCCCGTGGTGCTTCGCCTCGTATCATGATCACCGGCGAAGTCCGCATCCACGTATCCCTGCAGCACCAACTCCTTCCTCCTGAAACATAGTGGCTTGTTCGTTGTTCCCCTCAAGTACCGCATTATCCACTTCACGGCCTCCCAATGCTGCTTTCCTGGATTGCTTGCAAATCTGCTCACAACTCCCACTGCATGAGCGATGTCCGGCCTCATGCAAACCACCGCGTACATGAGACTCCCAATGGCCGAAGAATATGGCACCCTGCTCATATGCTCTCTATCTGCATCTGTCTTAGGCGATTGCTCCTCAGATAACTTGAACTGACTTCCAAGGGGTGTGCTAACAACTTTAGCATTCTGCATGTTGAACCTCTGAAGTACCTTCTCAATGTATTCAGCTTGGCTCAAACTCAATGTCCCTTCAGCTTCATCCCTACTGATTCGCATCCCTAGAATCTGCTTCGCTGCACCCAGATCCTTCATTGCAAATTCCTTTGCTAGCTGCCTCTTCAAACTGTTTATCTCTTCTAAACACGGTCCTGCTACCAACATGTCATCAACATATAATAACAAAATAATGAAGCTGGACTCGAACCTTTTGAAATAACAGCAATGATCCGAATTGCATCTTCTGTAGCCATTGTTCTGCATGAAGTTATCAAACTTCTTATACCACTGTCTCGGAGCCTGTTTCAAACCATATAAGCTCTTCTTGAGCTTGCACACCATCTCTTCCTTTCCTTCTTCAATGAAGCCAACAGGCTGCTTCATGTAGATTTCTTCATCCAAGTCACCATGAAGAAAGGCAGTCTTCACATCTAACTGCTCAAGGAAGAGGTCTTCTGCAGCTACCAAACTCAACACCACTCTGATGGTTGTGAGTTTCACAACAGGGGAAAATATCTCCGTGTAGTCAACTCCTTCCCGCTGTTGAAACCCTTTCACTACTAATCTGGCCTTGAATCTCTTGCTTCCATCACTCTCCTGCTTGACCCGGTAGACCCATTTATTGTGCAAGGCTTTCTTCTATGTAGGTAGTTGGGCTAACTCCCATGTCTCATTAGTGAGTAGAGAATCCATCTTCTCCTGCATCGCATGCTCCCACTGCTGAGATTCACTAACTTGCACTGCCTCTTCATAACACTCCGGCTCTCCGCTATCTGTTAAGAGTAGATAATCAAATGACGAGAGGTATTTGGGATTTGGTTTGGGTACCCTAGATGACCTCCTAGGCTTCACGCCCTGGGTAGTAGCTTCTGCACCTGTAGTCTCCTCCGTTCTACGGTCATAACTGACATCGTCGCCCCCATCTGGAAGTTCCTCCAAATCCATGTACTCGGATCCACCTGTATCCGTAGTGCTGCTCCCACTGCTTTGGCTATCCTTGGCATTATCCCTGTCCTTGTACATCACCTCCTCATTGAATATCACATCCCGGCTCCTGATGATCTTCCTGTTCTTCTCATCCCAAAGGCGATACCCGAACTCATCAATGCCGTATCCAATGAATGTGCACTTCTGTGACTTAGCTTCTAGCTTGTCCCTGACATGGTCACTGATATGAACATAAGCCACGCAACCAAGTACCCGCAAGTGTGAGAGATTTATCTTCTTTCCACTCCAAACCTCCTCTGGAATCCCAAAATCTAATGGAACTGATGGCCCGTGATTAATAAGGTATGCTGCCGTATGTACCGCATCCGCCCAAAATGTCTTAGGCAAACCTGCATGTAATCGCATGCTCCGCGCACGCTCTGTCAAGGTCCTGTTCATCCTCTCTGCAATGCCGTTCTGCTGCGACGTCCCTGGAGTAGTCCTCTCTAAGCGAATACCATTCGTAGCGCAGAACCTCTTGAACTCCTCCAGCTCGTATTCTCCACCATTATCTGATCTCAAGCACTTCACCTTCAGATCTGTCTCGTTCTCAACCATGGCCTTCCACTTCTTGAAGTTCTCGAACACCTCTGACTTGTGCTTCATGAAGTAAACCCACACCTTCCTCGAGTGATCGTCGATAAAGGTGACGTAGTATCTCGAACCGCCAAAAGAAGACACACTGGCTGGGCCCCATACATCTGTATGAATCAACTCTAGCTTCTGAGCCTTAGGTGGCCTTCCACCCTTCTGGAAACTAACCCTCTTTTGCTTCCCAAAGATGCAGTCTTCACAAACCCCGACTTCCACGGTGTCGATCCCGGTTAGCTTTCCTTGTGAATGTAGAATTTTCATCCCTTTCTCGCTCATGTGCCCCAGCCTATTGTGCCACAGATCTGTACTCTCCTTGCCAGCTGCAATTGCGAGGGTGTCACTCGCATGTGAAGTGAGGTAGAGAGTTCCCGTTTTATTGCCTCGGGCAACAACCATCGTACCGTTGGAGATTCTCCACGAATCCCCGGTGAATGTCGAAACGTAGCCTTTTGCTCCAAGCTGTCCCACCGAAACAAGATTCCTCTTCAGCTTCGGCATGTGTCTCACGTTCTTCAAATTCCACTTAGAGCCCTTCATCTGTATCTGAACGTCACCCTTTCCAACAATATTGCAAGGTTCATTGTCCCCCAAGTATACTTTACCAAAGTCCCCTGCTACATAGTTCTGAAGTAGTTTCCTATTAGCAGTGGCGTGGAAAGAAGCTCCT